GGGGGGGGGGGGGGGGGGGGGGAGGTGGGGAAGGCAAAATAAACCTCCAAACAAGACAACCAGGATAAAGGTGCCTGATGATAAAACAGAGGGGTAGAGAGTTCTTGAACTGATACATTTATTAATAACAACTAAATCAGATTTTGCTCTGTTTTGTTTCTAAGTTTATGTTTGTGTGCTTGTTTTTAGGTAGTTTTAATATAAGGTTATGTTCTTTCTCACTGGATTTTTTTTTTCATTCTTTTTTTAAAACTTTAGCTTCTAAGCTCTATTATCTGTGAGGACCATGTTCCATATTTGAAACAAGAGGGCAATTTCTTGTTTTCTAATATTTAAAGTATTTTCTAAAAATTAATGAGAATGTCCTGAATCCACAATTCAGCTACAGTCAACAAAATCTTCTTTGTGTGTACAGGATAATAGGTGATTCTACACAATGATGACTTAAATTATACTAAAGCATAATAAAAGCTCATCTTCAGTCCTACCATTTGATAATGTTATGTTTTCTTAATGGCATCAAATTTTGACAAAGCAAGACATCAATCTTCTCCAAAATTATCTCTTTAGTATTCTGGATAGCTTTACTGTTTTCTTGGTTTCTGTTTTGTTAAAATATGCATTTATTTATGCATAAACATTTATGCATACATCAGTTGATCATAATTTATGCTGATCCATCCAAATATATAACTCAAACTCACTTCAAAAACACTTAATATATCAAAAGAAAAATAGGCACAATGCAATAAATAACATAAAATACCTATTATAAATACAAAGGCACAGTGACTTGCATGGCTATACGTTCATAGAATAAACTGAAAATAAAGTCTTTCATGCAAAATAAACGTTACCACCCAGGCAGAAGAAACTTTATGTAAAACTGTTAAGAAAAAGCTGTGTCAAACTGAACAACTTCTAACCACACTTCACTGGGAGTGACTTAAAGTAATCCATTCGATAACTAATCAGAAGAACTATCTCTTTAGCAAGAAGCACTGAAGAGAAACGCTACGTCTTTCATAGAAAACCCTGCATACACTGGAGACCTGTGGTCAGTTTTTCTATTCAGGCTTCTACCACAATACATCTCCATAGGCAGATCCAGACAGAAAGCGCTGTCTCCCCTGTGTCAGACACAAGCCAGATCCAGACAGAAACATGAAAACCTTTGCAACAAACTATTGGAGAAGATAAGGCCAAAGAAGAGAGAACATGGGATAAAAATTGGGTATTTCAACACCAGAGGCCCTTTAAACCCCCCTAAAGCATTCTCCTCCTCAGTAAAACCTTCCTACCAGGTATGGGTTATCTCTTAGACACATGCAGTGAGGTCTCTAATTGAGTAAACTGGAGGCAGAAAACTTGATGAAACCAATTAGGTATCTAGTTACGCTGGTTTGTTTTCCCTGGAAATACTTAACGCTGACATAATGGATTCTACAGAGGCAAAGTAAAGAGATAATCAACTGATCTCTTTCAAAATTTTAATCAAATATGAGCAAATATGAGAAATATTTAGCAAATACATAAACAGCTCCCTAACGTACTAAGATACGAATGGTATTTTAGATCTGGCACAGTTCTAACACAGTTAAAAGACAGCAATTTAAAGAGTGTGACCTTGAAAACAGTTCTCAAAAATAACAGCTATGTGACCTTAAAATACATTAATTCATTAGATAAAAGTTTCTTCTCTCCAGCGGCAAACATTTTCAATTTCATCACCAAAATGTCATGACTCAAAGAGCAGATGTTTCTCTGAGCTTTTCTCTTAATCTTTACAAAATCCTCTACTGTAGGTAAATATCAAGAAACTGAAATAACTTGCAACCACTGTGGTAGTTTCAAAACAATGGTATTATGGCCCAGTCATCTGGTACCTGATACTAACCTAACTCCGTTGTTCTTCACTAGCCACATGTGGCCTGCTGTCCCATTAGACAGCCTTAAAAATTATTCCTAACAGTAGATAGACAACTTTGATGTATGATTTTCAGAAGGGTATAAAGTATTATTGTATACTTGATTTCACTTCAGCCATATTCCCTCCGCTGTGCAATAAGCAGTTCCTGGCTTCATACAAATTTTACTGCTCAAAAATTTAATTTCTGATTGTGTATTTTTTTTTTTCTTCATCTTCTTATATCATCTGTTTGAAACTCTTGACAATTCTCCCTCATTTGAAGAACTCAGATTGAGATTCCTGTGTAAACTACATTGTTACTTAGTTCTTCTGCAGAACTAAGGATTGAAACATCTTATTTTACACTATAGCTTATTTATTGAAAATAGTTTATCCAAGCCCATGTGTTATCCCCCATAATTTGGATTTAATCCAGGACCTGCCAAATAGTTCTAGCATAAAGTTAGGATCTTTGGCTTAGTCAGACATACCTGACCTTGTGTTTCACATCTGCTAATTTTGCTGACCAGTCATAGCTATGGTATTGCTATTATGTTCTGCCCTGCACCTGGAATGGCTCTATTCCTCTTCATTGTAGAGCTCTACATATACTCTGTTTATGTGATGGCCACAGGCTATGTGCCATGGGTCTTTCTAGAAATTTTTGTAAACGAATTTGTTTTGTTCTTCTCTAGTTCTTCAGTTGTAATGAATGATTCCTGGAGATTACTCAGGTTAATACACTATGATTATGTTGTTTAGAGTATGTATTCTACTGCTTGTTTTACTTATTATGAATTATTACTATTTCCTTATTATATGGAAAAGACACATAAGTATTGTTTAGGAAGGGACTTTGGTAAACCAAGTGTAATGTGCTTGGCAACACGGATCCATGAGATTGCATCTTTGTTTGAACCCAGGTATGTGCTATCGATAGCTGCTGCTGCTGTCGGATTACCATGCTTTACATCTTTCCTTTTACAACTTCCTCTTTACTGTGTTTCACTGCTGATTGCTTCCTGTACCACCTTTATTCAAAACTCACCGATAAAGTGCTTGTTCTAATAACAAATTTTATAACCGAGAACCATTATGGCAATGTGTAATCAGTCACACATCTTTTCTCTGCCTAACCTTTTCTGTTGCAATGATCTCTACTGTCCTGTTTCTGCTAGAGGCAGCTGTTCCGTTGGACAGCAGCAATAATCATTATTCACAACAGTCTTTATTCGTTCATGATCCTTCTACGTTTTTGGCTGGCTGTTGAAGTGGGAGGGTAATGTGGCAAAGCACTTCTGTCACTTTAGAAACCTTCTTTTCCCACATAAAGAGCTTCAAGAGAACATCCTTCTTATTCGTATTTCTTATGGAAGTGACCTTCAGTATACTGTCATTGCAGGTGTACATCTATATGACAACACTTGGTATCATTCAGAGTGCACAGAATTTTTTGTGTTTTAATCAAAGTTATTATTTCCTAATTCTGCAGACCATATGGCACCATAAAGCCCACAGCAGAGCAGATATTTTTAAAGCATGACATTAACTTTACTAGGGACATTAACAAAGATGAGTAATGATATCCTCACTGAAGTATGAATTATGCCAACGTTTTCAAATTTGGATGATTAAGGTTGTACCTTAACTGACCACCCATTTTTTTGCAGTTCTGAGACTGAATAGGATTCCACCTGTGCCCGTATCTGAAAGTATTCATACATATTTCTAGAATCACAATCTAGGCAAAACTGATACAGATAGAATTATTCTGATTTATTATTTTTCTGAAGTTTACGATTGTTAAGTCTGCCCCTGATCTTAAGATACATCTCAGGAAAACAAAAAATTAATTTTTCAGTAATACCTCTATGTGATTTTAGTTGTACTTCAGATTACTAGTCAGAGGTAGAGCACAGACAAATCTTATGAACTGCAATTTAATTTAAAATATGTTTAAATTCTGTTCAGTTTTGCAAATGCATCACCTTTCTGCTACAACCCACATAGGTTGTCACGTTCCATAATACTGCCTGGTAAATAACCTACGTATCTGTTACCATCAATCCTGTCACCATGCTTCCATTATTAATAAATTAATGTGGTTAATTATTAAAACATACCAAACATGTTCCAATTGCTTTTTCCTTCCTGCCTCCACTTTCTTAATACAATTCATTCTTACCAGAAACATTTTTTACATTCCCACCATCTTGATGAATGATATAAGCAACAGAGTATAGTCTCTCGACATTCAACTTATAGTCTCTCTGCATGAACAAGTCCGACGTGCTAAGAGGCTTCAGGATCATGCCTGTAGGCATTAATGAGCTTATTAGAACATTGTAACAAGGATTATCTGAATTTCTTATTCAGAGAGTTGAAGCTTTTATAAGTCTCTTGTCTTCAACTACTAACACAAGTCAGCTTAAAATCACTGCTGTACTAAAGCCACAATTTTTTCTTCTCATATTGAGATCGGTCATGATGATCATGAATGATTTATGTTAATAAAAAGAAGGTAAAACTTTTGGTAGAAAACACATATATGAAACATAGCATTTCTGATTTTATTATTATGAATTCAATGCAGGACAACTGACCTTGATAGTAATTTTCATATTCAAATGAAACCACCACTTTTCACTGAATCCATCACATCCACTTTTGGATGTTAAGCTTTTGCTTTGGTCCACAGTTTTCATTGATCTTGCACTTGAAAACTTCTCTCACCTTCAACTTTCCTTCTCTCGTAGTAGTAGCCATAAAGACGGTTATTCTGAAAATTACTTGAGTGCGTATTTAGATGAAGATGTGATTCTTTCAATAATTGTACAATTAAAGATGTGATTCTTTCCACAATTGTACAATTTGCTTATTGGAATTAGACTGGAAAAACATGTTTACATGCTTTTAATAAAACAAAATAAATAAGTAAATAGATCCCCTTAGTGCTATAACAGGACCATACTAGTATCATGCAGAAATACAAAACAAAACTGATCTTAAAGCTTTTTTTTTTTTACTTCAGTCCATCTGACTGAATGAAACCATATTATTAGACCATAGCTTTTTTAATGACTGTGCTTACCAGTTGCTGCCCTTGGACGCCCCAGGCTGCATACTGTAAAACTGAATCCTCTACTTCTGGAGGGTTTAACTCCCAAACTTCCCTTGAAAAAATGTAAACAGTTTTACTTGAACATGCTGACATCACCTTATGTATAGAACCACTGGCAATGACATCATATTGAAAAAACAATGTGACCTACCTTGTGTGTATGTTATAAATCACATACGAAGCTGTATAAGAATAATGAAAAACCTGTGACAAAAAAAAAAAAAAAAAAGACGTAAGAATTACAAAAGCAAATACTGGATTAAATACAGACTACCATTATGAGAGTCATAGTCTTCCAATCCCTGTATACAGTGATATCTTTATTACTGAAAGAACGAACGATTTTACTGAATTAATTATAACCAACGGACTTGAACAAGGGTTTGCATGCTGTATGAAGGACACACATAGTCATCTATTAATTTAAAAAGACACTTAACCTGTACAACAACTGCATAGAAGAAGTCTCAACCAGAAAAATCTATGTTTAACAGAAGGGTTTAAAAAACCAAAACAAATTCAGACAAAAAACCCCAAGAACATACATTAGGAAAATAAATAATTTTTTCCTTTATTTCTCCATCAAGTTATGGTCAGAATGACTGTACAGGAATCACAGTTACTTTACTTGAAATGCAGACAGGTACAGGATCATATGATATTCTTCTGAGCACCTGCTATGTACAGCTTGAATGATCTTCTGGGCTATGTCTCACAGAACAGAATAGAAAAACTGAGCGCTTACTGGGGCTCTGTTTGGTGTGGCTTTCCTTAAACGTGTTTCAATCTGATTTTGACCAACTTCCTTCAAAATTCAGGGAAAGTTTGTTTTACATGAGATTTTTAATATGCAACATTTTGGGTAAAACAAAGCTGTTTGTCGGTAGTCCTTCCTTATTCATCACGAAGTTACCCGTGACTGTGGACTCAGAAACCCCACGATTCTCTGGATGGAAAAGAAAAGCAAATCTAATGTACAGTCTTATGCTGCTGTCTTTATTTGTTAAAAATTTTGTTGAAATCGACTGAAATCAACAGAATTGTCATCTAAGTGCAAAATATCAAGGCCTGATGTATGTGGATCCAGAAGATCCATGGCGGGGAACAGCATGGTACAGTATATAATGTGATGTTCCACCACATTATATACTGAAAGGCTAAAATCAAAGCAAACTATTACACATTTTCTCTGAAGTCAAACTTCAGTCTACATACATATAGTGAATAACAGACATTTTGTCATCTTTCAGGCTCAGGTGATTGGTTTTAACCTAGCTCACTTGCTTACCACTATGTCTCGCATTATGAAAATAGTGTAATTCCATAATATTAATTAGTTTTATTATGAATTGAAATTACTTCATGGTCTTATAATGTAAAATATATTTGTGACTAATTATTACTGTACTAAGAGAAATTCTTCTTTTTAACGTAAACTACTGTCAGAAAGAAACATAGGGTGACACCCACTAGACTTAGTGTAGCTTTACATCTACAGAGTTACAGGATCTCTGTTTGGCACATGAAGGATCTATTTCTGGACAGTGTCAGGCTAGTTCCAGTTAGATGGAAGGAGATACATCTGCAAAGTCAAAACACTGATATAGATATATGTGTTGGGAACTCTTCAGTTTATACAATCTGCACCAGGAATCTTTCAGTATAACCTCCAAAGAGAAGAGACAAAGGAGGATCACACAGGAACAGAGACATCATAATTTACTGCTATAGCATATGGGAGGTGTTTTTGAGGTTATTACTTTCTGGAGGTCATTCAGTAACAGAACCATCTGAAACATCCTTCCACTGACTCCATTTCCATTGTTAGTTCCCTGTGAACATACACCAAGAATTTAGCATGTCCTAAATTGCCAGATGATGTTGTAAGAAGCCCACAAAGGTCTGTAAGATTAGTAACTGTACTTTGTACAACAGTTGAATTTCCCTTCTATAAAATTTCCCTTTTAGACAAGAACCACTTCCATTTTCCAAGTCTATGATGATTAACATTGAAAGTGTTGCTTCAATGAGGAGAATCATACATACATTAAGTATGCCCCAAACTGTTAGTTTTTTTTTATATAACAGCTTATGATAAAGTGTTTGGTCATGCAAGGTACCAGCCTCTTCTCAGAAGTGCTAAGTGTGACAGAAATAGAGACAAATTATAATAATATTCTGATTGCTGTAAGAGGTACGAAAATACCAAGAACAATATTCTAAGTAATCAGATTGATTTTCTCTAAATATCTACCATGAAAAATCATACCTACTACCATATCTCTATACTATATTTACATATTAGTCTAATTATATACATAGAAGTAGATTGCTTGCTTAACATACTATAACGTTTAAAGTCCATAATATCTATCATAAACTAAATATCTATCATAAACATACATACTACCATATCTCTATACTATATATACGTATATGTCTAATTATATACATAGTAGGAGTAGACTACTTGCCTACATACTATAATGTTTAAAGTTCAGTGGGGTTTCTGGGAAAAATTAACTTGGTAATAACACGATTGAGGGCCTATCAAGATAGAGTTATTCAAGTACTGCTGGTAAGACAAGGAGAGAAAACACTGGCTTTAAAGCTGCTGCTTTCTTTTATAAATCTTATCTTGCTAGAGGTAAGAAATAGCAGATCAGAGGGACATAAATGGTTAAATCATAGTGGTTTCTGCACGGGGAGTACATTGCCAGAGGCTACCCATTGGAGCACTTGCTATTTAAGGGGACAGTCTCCTACATCCAGTTACAGCAGAGAGGAATGGGTCTCTTGCCCTTCTAGGAAAGGGAAAGGTGTATCACAGATAATGTGTAAATGGCTGATAAGTATTTAGAATACAAATATTTAAAAATTAAATTATGAGACAGAATATATTTCAGCAAGAAATGCTAAACTAATAAGTCATTTTGACAGCTTTAACAGAAAATATGCTGTAACAACAAGAAGAACACTTTGTATTTCACGTGGAAACTCTCCTCTTGCCTTGTGGTAAAATTTCTATCTATATATTTATGTGGAAGTATTAATATCTTTGTGTTAAAAGCATTAATACCTTTAAAGAGCTTCACAACCAGAGGAGACCAACATTACAATGAAGTCACTTTCAGACAGGATGCTGCCATTTTTCTCAAATTACTCATGTTAGTTTTCCTAAGAAATATTCCTATTTCTTCTTAGGAACACCATGTATGAATCACAAGTAGGGAGTTTCCTAATTCATCCTGCTTGCAATAGCCTCCTACTGAAACATAATCATTATCAAAATTAAACAAAAAAGAGGATGTAGCAAATCTTTTTTCAAGTCCGACATATAGTAAATGGCTAGGAAGCGCTTGCAGTTTTGTGTAAAGGCTTCCTTTTGCACAGAGCCACGTCAGTGCCTGGGACCACATGCCTCCTGCTCACTAACATACTACATCTGGCACCACAAGAGGAGCCCAGCTGAAGACACCAAGCCTGACACTACGCAGAGGGAGTATCAGCAACCCTCAAAACACAAGGATCAAACCTTCTCCATGGCCATCAGCTGTGTCCCCTCTGGAAGAGGCTTGGGAGAGTCTGCCCTGCAACTCCTGTTTTGTGGGATATGCACTAATCAGAAAAAAACCCTGATAATTAATGATGGAGTCTGCAAATAAACAGACTGAGAGCTCACACAAGTAAAGCTCGGGCTGTACTGACCCATCTCATGGTTTATTTACAGTGAAGGCTGGTCTTTGTGTTCATCATTCAAATCAGAAGTGATATCATTCCTATTCTGAAATGTTTTCAAACATTTCTTGTACTCCGTTCTATTTCAATACCACCCCTTCTAAATGGGGCGGTATTGAAAGACTAAATTAAGGCTAAACATGGACAGTAAATTACTCCGGCTGAACACAAAAAATGACATATTCAAGTAGTGTGAAACTGAGGAAAAGGAGAAAGGTTGTAGTGAAAAAAAAAAGGACTCATCTTCTAGGTACAAAGAAGAGAATCAATTAATGAATACAGACACAGGAACATCTCTAAGAAGTGAAGAAATGTAGGACAGTAAAGCCTTTTGAAATATTAAATTCATTACAGTAATTTCTGCACTGCCATATCAGAGGAGGAAAATGGCTTGGCATAATTTTTAATATAACTATATGTGTTAAGGTGGGACACTGTGAGGAGCCTTACTTCCACAAGTGTCATGTATGCTTGCTAGGGTTTGAGCTTTTCTGACAAGTAAATAGCTTGTTTGTTGCTATTATGATAAACTGGAAAATGTTCCCCACAATATTAAGAACTGTAAAATGGCTTTTTAGATCTGACAGAGAGCATACCTCCCCCTCAATATAATTTATTTAATTCTTCTTTTGCCACAGAATGCAGTAGGTAACAGCTGTTGCATATTATATACTACTTCTGAATTCAGTCTTTGATCAATTTATAAACTGAAAACGAGCTTTCATTTGATGCTGCTCAACATTGAAAAAGTTAGCTGTATTTGTGTATGAAAAAAATAAAATTACAGAACTATATTACAAAGGACCTAAAAGAAAAGGGTGAAAAAAGTATTTCAAGACAAATTGCTCCAGTCAAAACTTACTGAAATGACAATCTGTTATTCAGCTAACAGCCAACAATAAAAAACCCCACTTATCAATCACAATCTGAACTTTTAGATGACATATTGTTTCGGGTTTTATATGTCCTTTATTTTCTACCTTCCAAGGAATGTCTTTGCCTTTCTAAGGTTTCTAAAAATGAAATACTGTCATGGAACAAAATGCATAGCCCAGCAAGATGCAGAAAAACAATGTGCCCTATACACTTAGCCAAATACACTCCACTAATTCTGTAATATACTCCAGGAAATAGTCAGTTCGCTGTCCTTGGGTAATTTGGAAAACATCCCTCAGCAAAACAGTGTTTGTGCTAAAAAGCTGCCAAGAAAACCTCACTAGCACTATTTCTGCAGGAGGATGAGAGCCCTAAGCTGCAGGGAAATGGAGAAGAGCTTACATTAGAACCTCACAGCTCTATAATCACAAAACGCTAGGGCATGCCAAGCACCTTGACGCATCATTTATCCATTTCCTATATTATAAACCAATTATATTCTTTCACATGTTATTTATTTAGAGCAATAATGTTGCTTCCTTGCTAGCATGGCTTTTTGCAAGGTAGTGAACTGACTGTCCTATATTTTT